AGATTGGCAAGAAGCATGGCAAGACTGGAGCGCAGGTTGCTCTGGCTTGGGGCATCGCCAAAGGTCATTCTGTTATTCCCAAGAGCAAGACTGAGTCAAGGATCAAGGCCAATCTGGAGGGTGACTTTGCCCTGCCTAAGGAAGATGTAGAAAAGATTACTGGTATTGATAAGAAGATGCGGTTCAATGATCCTTCGGGTAACTTTGGATGGAACTTTTACACGGATTTGGATGGTAAGAAGAAATGAGGAAGAGAATAGTGTACTATAATGCTGTTGGAATAGCCGACTCAAAATGATATCTACATGCATTACATGAACAAACGGTCAAAAACGCCCGGCCCACACCCGTCCCCTAACTATAACTCCCCGCCGCCCAGCTCTTCCGACTCTCCCTGCGATCCTCACCCTCAAAGAAAATGGCAACCTTGTTCGGCTCCCCCTTTTCCCCCTCATGGTAATCATACTTGATTTTCTTGAACCGCAGCGCCCTCGCTGCCTTAATCTCATCCCCACTCATAACCATCGCCGCATCGCCACCAATACGACTAACAACAGGGTTCAACAGCATGGCCATACTAAAAAAGCTCTCGTCGCGGACAATCGTGCGGTTGGCGAAGAGGCCTAAGAGGCAGAGAGCGAGAAATTGGATGAAGCAGATGCCGCCTAGGATGCTAAAAACGTAGGACCAGTCTACGTCGAGTTGCTGGCCTTGCGATGGGACGACGGTTTGGTGCGTGACGTTGTAGCGAATGCCATGGTCATCGAAGGCAGCGACAGCGCCGATGGTAAAGCGCATGAGGAGGTCTTCGACTTCGTTTTTTGCGATGTTGTGTGCGGGCGACCATTTGGTGCCTTGACTGTAGGACCGGGTTTGGCGATCGAACCAACCGTTCCATGGTATACCTGTCCAGCCCATGGCACCAGCAGCTGTGCGAGCGAAGATATCGGAGCCCCAGACTGCCCTGAAGTCGGCGGGGTCGCGGGGATCGATGTCGTTGGGGGCGTTAATCGCGGTTACGTTACCGAGTGTGTTGTTGCAGAGGAAGAGGGAGGCGGCGGTCACGCGCGCGTGCTTTTTGTTGTCCGACTCGGGGAGTTGCATGACGGTGAAGTTCGTACATCTTGGCCCGCAGTTTTCGGGAACAGAGGCCATCCAGGTTACGGAGCCGCCGGCTTGTTCAGTGACTTCCCACTTAACGTAGTCATCGTCGCCTTGGTGTCGAGCCATGATGTAGAGGGATTCGTCGGGTACGTCGTGCACTTTGCCGTCCTTGACTTCGAGTTGTTCGCATGATGCGTGGGCTGTGATGTTGCGGGAGCTGGCGAGGTAGTTGACCCATTGGTGGGCTGGGTCGCGGTTGAAGAAGCGGTAGTGCCATGCGCCGTTGCCGCGGTAGATGGGTGTGCCTGGTATGCCGGATAGATCGGTAATCATGTCGTCCATATTGTCGGTAAGATTGAATTCGGGGTATGCCATGGCTTCCATGCCGTACATCCACGCCGCTTCCAGCGAAGTCTCGTTGATGAGACTGATTTCGGGGTCGATCTCGCGCGGCGGGTTGTCGACGTACCAATCGTTCAGATCGGCTACAGTGACATTCCCGTATGACAAGAGTGGTATCTCCGAGTTCTCCATCGGCCAGAACAGACTCAGCAGTGCCACTAGGATCTGAGAGCCGATATTGAGAACCAGCCATGCCAGACACGCTAGCCACATCCACTTCGTCTCATCGTCTCTAACATCCTTGAACATTCGGAATTTGCGCAGCCATTTCTGACGCCGGAAGCCAGGTGACGACAGGATCATCAGTTTCGTAACCTTGGCAAGCGAACTCAGGTGTAGGATCAGGTCGAATACTTCTAGACTAACGTAATGTCTAGTGAGAAATGACCATCTGAACACTGATGCATAGTGCTTTAACGAGGCCAAGATGTTCAAACCCAGACACAGCGAGAGACCGAGAGTAAGCGAGTTGAAGATTCGGATATCGATCTTGGAGAGAACGACGGGGCGGCGCCATCCTTCCCAACATTTGAGTGTAACACACATCACTGCGCTGAAGAACAGCGTTACGAGGAGTTTCATCGCACCTGTCTTGAGGAGTGTCTTCCGTGCCTCTCTTTGGTCGAATCGCTTGACGTGGTGGTGGTGTTTGTGGTGATGAGTCCCGTCTTCAACATCGAAGGTGGAGCTGGGGCTGCCTACGCTGGCGTAGAATCCGCCCTTGGACTCTATGATCTCTGGAGACTGGACCATGGATGGTGTGTGCATTGGTGAGTTGGATGGCGAGTATGATGCGTCGTCGACATGCTGCATCGCTACATCACCACTGTCGTAGCTGAGTGGTTCGGCGGAGCTGATCAATGGCGCATTGTCGGAGTGCCCCCCACTGACTGTGCGGTTGCGATCCATGGTTCTTATTCTTTTGTCTTCGTTCGACGGGGTGGTGTGTTTGTGCTCTGTCAAATCTACAACTGTAGAGATGACTTTGCGTGGCTTGGAACCTCGTGTGCCGTCAGACGGCAGGCTGCAGGTGTCTTGGGCGAAGATAGCAAACTAGGTAGCGAGCGAGCGAGGCGTTACGCGCATTCTTTAGCGATGGCGAAAGTACCGACACTGTGGTTGCATTCCCCGGGTATACTGGTATGTGAAAGGGATTCCTCAGTAGTCCTGCAAGACTTGCCAGGTAAAGTAGTAAGAGTGATTATCTGAAGTGGAGAAAATGCAGAATCCTCTGGAGCGCACATGGCGCTCTTATCGCTGTCTCCCGGGCGGGTTTCCGCGCGACGACCATATTGGGGGCTGAAAGTTTGGGGGCCACAACAGCCGCATCTGCAAGCCTTTGGCGTTGCACAGCGTGGGCGAAGCAAGTCCAAAGTTGAGAACTGCCAGCGACAAAAGGACGATAACCAGTACTAAATTGTAATAATAGAAGCACAAAAAGTACTTCAACGACTTACCATGCGCCTATCGTGAAGCATGCGTTCGGAGAACTACATCAGCCCACCCCTCTTCATCCTTGGTAGGCTGGATTTTCCCAAACTGGAGGCTGAGTCTCACGCTAGACCAACGAGTGTAGCGATCGGTAGTCCTATTGTTAGCTAGATAGGCTGTTAACTGCAAGCGAAGTATCGAGGCGTTTCTAGTCCAGTAATATCTAAGTGGTTGCACGCCACGAAGAACAAGTATGGGGGGCCGGAACGCTCATTCGCCTAAGATGCAGCTGCGGGAGGGTAGAAGCGCAAGGCTCGGAGCTTGCAGTATGTCGCGAAATGCAGCTGACTTGGACCATGCAGTTGTGGAAGTTCTTCGAGGCCGGAGATAAGCTTAGGCCGATGTCAACGTTGTTGTGGTTGTTGCTGTTGTAAGCGTCGCGGAGTGAGTACCCACATAACCGGCCGCGGTTGCCAAACTGTCAGCTTTTACCTTTGCGGGCACCCACCAATCCTCGGAGTTGTAGGAGGCATATTGATGCTCCTGTGCTACTCATGCGACATATCCGTCGTCGTAAGAGCAGGGGGATGGTAACTCTGACGATGATGCCCGCGCGCGAGAGCGACTGACTAGCCTCAGGTACTCCCCACCTGACGCTAGATGACAAATGACTGTGGAGAAGGCACGAAGGGCGTCATGTCAACCAGTCTCAGAGCTTCATATTTATCGCGTCTATCTCAATCTTGCTGTTAACTATCAATCATCGAGACCAAAACATCATGTCGTCGTCAAACGTGGTTCTGTACGATCTGCCTAGCAGGAGTGGTTCCTCATGGTCATTGAACCCGTGGAAGAGTGAGTTCATCCACACCACAAATGCTATCTTGATCCTTCTGACAGGCGCGCAGCTCGCATGGTACTGAATTACAAGAAGATCGACTACACGACCGAATGGGTAGAATATCCTGACCTGGCCCCCAAGTTCAAAGCCCTCGGCATCCCACCCACCCCCAAGGATGCGCCAGGCTATTTCGCAGAGTACACCAGTCCCGCTATCAAGCATGCGAACGGCACCTATCAGATGGATTCTTGGCCCATTGCCTATGAGCTTGAGAAGCAACACCCAACCCCGTCTTTGCATCTCGATGACCCCATCGTTGTGCAGATCAGGGACCATATTGCCAAGATAGCTGGCCCACTGAGGCCACTACTCATTCCTCAGGTACCAGTTGTGCTGCTGAACAAGCCGAGTGCAGATTACTTCAATGAGACTAGAGAGAAGATGTTCGGGAAGCCGCTCGAACAAGTAGAAAAGGATGCCAACGCAGAAGAGTGTTGGGAGGCGGCTAAGGCACCGGCGAAGGAGGCGGGCGCTCTACTGAGGAAGAACGGTGGGCCTTACTTCCTGGGTCAGACTGGTAAGTGACAATGCGCTGGCTGGATCATGTCGGCTTCATATATTCTAACTTGTGAGCAGTCTCGTATGCCGACTTCATCCTTGTGTCGATGCTACACTTCGTCAAGTGCATAAGCGAGGACAAGTTCAAGAAGCTTCTGGCTCTTGACGACGCCTTCCCTAAGGTTTACGAGGCGTGTAAACAATGGCTGGAGAAGGACGACTAGTCCCTTCTCAGCAAGCGCCAGTGCCTAAACCGATCGATCAACATCGGGACTGCTCTTTCTGTTATCTAGGTATCGTGCGTTCAGATGAATAAAATTTCAAAATCAACAATGATGAAGTTTCCTGCACTGCATGCCATGCGCCACACTACCCCTCTCTTGCGCCCGCCAGGCTGCTTGACCAATCTGACTGTGCAGCATTAGCGTGGCCACGCTTCTTGCCTTGCGCCCGATGGGCAGTGTTGCCTAGCAGCTGATAAGTTCAGCTTGAGGGTGATAATGCCGCCAGATCATACACGCACAACGATAACGTCGCACCTCGACTCGTACTTTCTAAACTCTTGACAAGAGCTATTCGGCGCGTTTATTGGAACATTATCTTCTCCGGTCGGACAACGCTCGAGGTCGTTGCACTAATTCCAAACGTGCCTTCCATACCCAACATGAGCGCGACAGCTCCATCACCGAGGGTTGACATTGCGCATGAAACCTCGCACAGTTCCGATGACGGATTCGAAATAGTAGAGCACGACCTCGATGTTCTGAGCATCCCGGGATCGCAAGATGGCACCCCCGTACCGACTATAGCGGTGACAGAGGAAACCGAGCGCAACGGAGGAACGGACGAACCCAGGGAAAGCCGGCCTTGGTTATTGGATTATGATGAATTCCATGATGCGATAAAAGGCGGGGACTTAGATGGCGTGAAGAAGATGCTGGACGACGGTGCAAACGTCGAACGTGGAACAGACGAGGGAGAATCACCACTGATACTCGCAATATGGAAGCAACACATCGCCATAATCACGCTATTGCTAGAAAGAGGCGCGGATGTGACCCGCCCGTTCGACGGCTTTCCTCCGGTCCATCACGCCGTCATGCAAAAAGATCGAGCACCCCAAATCATCCACATTCTCCTGGACCATGGCGCCAGCTTGGAAGCTGTTGGGACAGGGGATGCTAACGCGTTACATTTCGCTGCATCGAACGGCATGATACATGGGGCTGACTTCCTGATCGGTAAGGGAGTAGAGGTCAGTAAGACCTGCGCGGATGAGAGGACGCCTTTGCTACTGGCTGCAAGGCATGGACATATGGCAATTGTCAAATTACTTCTCGCCAAAGGAGCAGATTTGCACGAAAGAAGTGAAAATGGTTGCACCGTCCTGATGTGGGCGGCGGAGTACGGACGGCATGAAGTCGTTCGTTACTTGTTGGAGGCAGGCGCGAGGGTGGACGACCGTAGTGTGGAGGGTCTCAGTAAGTTCATGTAGCCTTCACGACTTTTTGAACAGCAACTGATATCAGCAGCCGCCTTATCACTCGCCAGCATGAATGGCCGATTGGAAGCCGTACAACTATTGATCGAGAATGGTGCAGACATTAATGCACTCAGTCTGGATCCAGAATCCTTTACCCCGGCAATGTTTGCTGCATTACAAGGACATGCAGAAGTGCTACAGGTCCTGCTATCGCACGGAGCAGATTACAAACCAGATTTCGAAGTCGAATGGGCAGATGGTGACACGATCCTGGATATGACCATGACGAAAGGCCATCTCGCTACTGCCAAGATCCTGTTAGAAGCCATTGGTGGACCCGACTACCCAAAGGATACTATCGCACTCCAAATGGCCACTGCGCAATCCAAGGTAGAACTGATACCAGTGATGAAGGCCGTTTCTATCATGTACCAAGAAATCGATCCCCATTCCACCGACGGGGAGAACCTGGGTTGGGTCAAATGGGTCTTAGATCAAGGCGGAGAGCTCGTCAGGCCAAAAGCCATCTGCAATATGCTATATGCTGCACTAGCCAAGAGGGATGTCGGTATAACTGCAGAGCTACTCAGACTCGGAGCCGATCCAAATATCTTCGGGTTCATGGGTTACACACCACTCCACGTCGCAGTCGGCGGGCTGGCGTGCAACCTGGAACTCGTCGAAGTCCTTCTAGAATTTGGTGCTGATCCGGCTAAGCTCTCGCAAAATCCCACCATAGAAAAGAGGGTCACACCTCTACATCGTGCCATCTTGGGATTCGAAAACGACCGTCCAGACAAGATGCCTGTCGTCGATCTTTTGCTCGCAAGTGGGCGATGTAAGGTAATGAAAGGACCGGACGCTCAGTCTTCTGCCTTTCTGAGTGTAGTAAGCGCGTTCGATGGTGGGAGTGCTGACGTTGCCAAAAGCCTAGCGTTCCGGATGCTGGATTCCATATCTGATGTGAACGACGACAAGGCTGACGATGGGTCTACTGCGATGCACGTTGCCGTCCAATACAATCAAAAAGAGCTCATTGACGCACTAAGACGGAAAGGCGCCGACATTAACGCGAAGAACAACGACGGCATGTCACCTCTTCTTCTAGCGTGCGGCATGAATGCGGAGCTGGTCAACTTTCTGGTTACGCGCTGCGCAGACGTTTCTGCTGTCAACGAGAAGAACCAGGGAGCTTTGCATATTGCCGCTGCCTGTGGGCAAGTCGGAGTGCTCAGGTTTCTCCTTGACATGAACCTAGCCGATGAGGAGCCACTGAACATCAACGCTGTAGACGATGCAGGTCACACACCTTTGATCGCTGCCATAGTAGAAGGCCATGAGCGTGCAGCTTTCTTCTTACGGGTACGACGTGCCTCTGTTCGACAACGTACGACCGACAAAGGACGACTTGCCTTGCATTACGCAGCACAGGCAAGTATGAACCGTATTGTGGAATCCATCTTAGGAGTATCCTGCAACGACATCATCAATGTGGAAGATCATGGGGGATACACACCCCTAGCACTCGCGTGCATGGCAGATACCCCCACCGTCGTTCCCACCTTGCTCTCCTACGGCGCAGACCCAAACGTCATCTGCCAAAACACCGGCGACCGCCCTGTCCACATCGCTCTCAAACGAACGCTACACATGGATCGCTGTGCAGACAGGGAAAGTAGTCCATCACTCGACCTGCTCAAGCATGCAGACACCGATATCACAGCTCGCGATGGGAGCGGCCGCAAACCACTGCATCTCGCATCTTAGTTTCACAATCTAGAGTCTACTAAAGTCCTCTTATCCAAAGGCGTCTCACCACACTCTGAAGACAGCAAGGCACGGACACCCCTATGCCTGTGTTCAAATCCCTACATCGCACAGGCGCTGATCGACCACGGCGCGGACGTAAACCACGCAGACGAGAATGGATGGACGCCGTTGCATTACGCTGTGTCGAGGTGCTGGGTAAAGGCTTTTGCGGTGCTGAGACAGGCAGGCGCTGATATGGATATGAGGACCCGAGATGATGGGCTTAGTGTCAAGGAAAGGTTGGACACGTTTGGCTCGTGGCAGGACTGGGTGAATACGGAAAGGGAAATGGTGTGTGATGATGCACAGAGGGAGAAGATTCGGGAATTTGACATAAGGGCTGAGATGGGGATGAAAGTAGATAGGTATTGAGGTGACTACTGACGGCGTAAGTGCTCTGCTTTGCTTACTTGCTTCAATGGGCTCGTCACCCATTGTAACGCTCATCCATTTCTACTCTGATGCAATTTCGATGTTGCGCCCTAGTGAGTGAGACATCAAGTCTACGTCCCGGAGTCCACGGGTTTTTCGATCGCACATATTGACGAGTCATGAACAGTAGCGCGCACGACTCGCCCCATCCAGCCTCCCGCAACCTCTTCACGATCGACGTCATCACATCGACATCCAGTCCAGAACATCACAACAAAACCTAAATGATAGATAAACATTTTTCACCCGGCACGTCATTCGCCCGTCCGCCAGCGCATTCACTCCATCACAAATACACCACGCGTAGTCCATCCGCAGCATTCCGAGCGAATTAGGTAAAACGCCAGATCTCCTTCGCGTGTGTGTGCGCGCGATCTGAGTGCCCTGGCGCCGATCTCAACGATGCGGCGCGTCATGGACTTTTCGATAGCCTCGCGCACAAATGCCATCACCAGTCCAGATCTTGTGTCAAGCTAAGCTTTTCGAGCCGGAATTCCTTGGCAGTTGTGACTACAAGGGGGGTTTTCGGAGGCCGTGGGTGCCCTTTGCGGCGCCTGGCGGACGGATAAGCTTCCTTAGGGTTTCTTAGATCGAGCTGGTGGGCGTGATGGGGACGATGATGTCACGGTTGTGTAGTGGACTTAAGTATTCGATGCCACGGCTTCGGTAGGAGTAGTTGTGTCTTTTTCTATTCAAAGCCCACCTGCTCTGCTCTGTCCAACACATTTCCCGTGAGTGAGCATCATGTTTGATCTCATCCGCGACTCGGCTTTTGGCCATATCGTCCGTCTTGTGACGCGCAACAAATATCTTCAATATCCCGAAGAGAAAGACCCCGAGATTTGGAAGAAGTATGTCAGCCACGAAAAGTCTGGGTATGCCGCCTACCATGGATCTACGCAGGCGCCGGAGAACAAGGACGAGATTGATGAACTCGCCCAGACGCATGGTGTGAGGAACCGGGAGGGACGCGAATCGGAGACTTCGTCGCGTACTGTGGGCAATGGTGTCAACGAGGCCAGTGGCTTGAGAGTCGATCCTGAGAAGGGCAAGGACCTTCATGTTATTGATTGGTACGGTCCGGATGATGCTCAGGTATGCTTGCTCCATGTTCACATTTTTGGATTATACTGACGGCGCTGTAGAACCCAAAGAATTGGTCGCGAGGAAAGAGGTACTTCGTCACCTTTGAGATTTGCTTCCTCACCTTCTCGGTATACATCGGTTCAGCCATTTACACGCCTGGTCTCATGGGCGTGATGGCAGAGTTTGGCGTTGCTCAGGTCCCCGCGACCTTGGGACTGACGCTGTACGTTGCTGGATACGGTCTTGGTCCTCTTCTCTGGTCACCCATGAGCGAGATTCCGCAGATTGGCCGTCTCTGGGTTTACATCATTACTCTTCGTAAGTGCAGCCGTTCGTCCACGGCGAGACGATATGCTAACCGAAGCCAATAGTCATCTTCGTCCTTCTCCAGATCCCTACTGCTCTCTCCGTCAACTTCGGCATGCTACTCGCTTTCCGATTCTTGACCGGATTCTTCGGTTCGCCAGCGCTCGCAACAGGAGGAGCCTCCATCGCCGACATGTACCGACCTAAGAAACAAGTGTACGGTCTCGCAGTCTGGGGAATCGGAGCTGTGTGCGGTCCCGTTCTCGGTCCTCTTGTGGGTGGCTTCGCCGTTATGGCTGAAGGTTGGAGATGGACCATGTGGGAGATCATGTGGCTCTCGGGTTTCTGCTGGGTCTTCTTGTTCTTCCTCCTGCCAGAGACAAGCGCGCCCAACATTCTGCACCGCAGGACACGCAGGCTCAAAAAACTGACTGGCGACGATCGTCTTACATGCGAGCCGGATATCATGTCTGCTGAGATGTCAGGCAAGGACGTAAGTAATCCTTCTTCACGATATCCAATCATTGCTAACACTACCTCAGGTTCTCAACATGAGTCTTCTTAAGCCCATCACCCTCATGTTCAAGGAACCCATCGTGTTCCTGTTGAACTTGTACATCGCACTCATCTACGGTCTACTCTATATCTGGTTCGAGTCGTTCCCTCTTGTGTTCTCAGGACTCTACGGTTTCAACCTCGGCCTTGAGGGTGTTGCGTTCCTGGGTATCCTCGTTGGTACATTTATCGCCGTCATTGTGCTCTTCGCGTGGAACTACTACTACCTGGAGAAGCAGTTCGACGACGATGGCAACATCGCGCCAGAGAAGCGTCTCATTCCTGCCATGGTTGGCTGCTTCTTCGTACCAATCTGTCTCTTCTGGTTCGGATGGACTTCGCGGTCGGATGTGCACTGGATTGTGCCCATTATCGGATCTGGATGCTTCGGTATCGCTGCCTTCACGCTGTTCCAGGCCGTCCTACCTTACCTGTCGGATGCCTACCCCGACTCTGTGGCTAGTGTACTGGCAGGCAACGACCTGATGAGGTCTTCATTCGGTGCGGGATTCCCCCTGTTCGCCAATGCCATGTACCAGAAGTTGGGCATAAACTGGGCGAGTAGTCTGTTGGGTTTCCTAGGTATTGCCTTTATCCCGATTCCATTTGTGCTTTACAAGTGGGGCAAGCAGATCAGACAGAAGAGCAAGCTGGCCAGGAAGGATATCTAGGGGTGTGCAGCGGAACAGTCCTATAGGATGGACGATAATATTATTTGTTCAGACAACTTCGACGGAGATGAGTGATTTCCCAGATGTGTGGAACGCGTGGTTGACGTCATCATCGTACGCGCCGTGGTGATGCATATTTCTTTTGTGAGCAATGTCCATTGGCATGGGTGCGCCTGCGGAGGCGTGTGCTGCTCCGACGTAAGCAAACACGCATTGCTTTGTCGAGCAGTTTGGTGAAACAGCAGACGTTGATGCTGCGTCATACTCGACGCGATGCAGGTGGCCGATCCCAACGGCTATACATAATGCCGTAGTCACGTCGCGGAGTCTAGACACGTGCTAGGGGAACGCGGTAATGGAAACATCGTGAGTTTAAAATGAGGAAGGCGCCGAATGGACCCTGATGGCCGAAGCTGGACGCATCGATCTCCCGGGAGTGACAGCCGATTTGGGTCTGCAGCGAGATTGGTGGTGAGGTCGCTGGGGTAGCCTCGAGGATGTTGGTGAGGGAAGGATGGCGCTAGGAGGACTAGCGCGGAGCTTGTGGCGACTGGAGGCTGTATGGCAGTTCCAAGATTGCTGCTGTCTTGGATGGCAAAGAGTTGGGAGGCTAAGAGGTGAGAGGCTAGGGAGTTTGCGAGCCGGGTGGAAGGCGCGGAAGCTACCTGTGAACCAGCGGAAGGAGCTACCAGGCAGCAGGTGTGTTAGGTAGTACAATGAATGGCAGCAACTGTGCAGTGTTCTTCCTCATCTCACCACCTGTCTGTGCTGCACCGCCACAACATCCCGCGAACCTGTTTCGGCGCTGATCCTTACCCACAACGGCAAAGGCGGCCGTCGTCGTCAACATGAGCGGGCATGGCAGCGTGCGTTTTTCGAGAGCCGCTCCCCACAACGTCCTGCTGAACAACATGGCCATGGCGGACGCGACCAAGCCCGTCGTAGTCAATGCGCCCGAACGCCCGGGCTTGACGAGCAGCGCCTCGGGGTCGTCTGGCGACTCGATGGACGAGACGACGTCGCCCGGCGAGCCCTCGACGACCACCAGCAGCCGCGACCAAGTGGCGCCTCTGCGCGAGCCCCAGTACTCGTGGAACAGCAACGCCAGCTCCTCGCGCTCTCGCGGGCCTGCCATCATGACGGACCTGCCGCCGCAGACGCCCAACGGGGGCAGCGCGCCCACGTCGACCACCAGAGCCGCCCGCCCAACACCCGGCCGCACCATCAGCAGCGCATACGCACCCGCCCGCCGCCCCCAGCAGTTCTCGCTGAACTCGTCCGCCCACCGCCCGCGCAACAACTCGGCCACGCGCAGCCGCCGCAACCCCAACGCCGAGTACCGCGCCCAGGAAAAGGCCTACGTCCAGCGCATCCGCCAGGAGGACCAGCAGGACGACTTCTTCGACCCGGCCCTGCGCACCCCCAGTCTGGGCTACAGCACCGACTCCGAGACAGACGACGAGTCGCCCTCGACCGCCGAGTATGTCGAGAACGACCCCTACGACCAGGAAACGCTCCTCTACTATGGCAACGACGACATGCAGCCCTCGATCGAGGAGCTCAAGATCCCCGCCAACCGCGAGCGCCTCGAGTGGCACAGCATGCTCGCCAGCGTCCTCACGGGTGATGTCGTCAAGCAGGAGAAGAAGCGCCTCATCGGTAGCACCGAGCAGCAGGGCGACAGCACCATGAAGGCCGAGATCTGGATGGGCATCCGCGCCAAGGTCTGCGGCCGCTCGCTGCAGGCCCAGCGTCGCATCGTCGACGACACCCGCAGCAAGATCCGCGCCAACCTCGAGAGCATCATCTCGTTTGAAGTCGGCGGCGAGGCTGAGGCGGGCCAGACAGCCGCCCAGCAGGTCGAGGACATCGTCAAGAAGATCGAAAAGGTCGAGAGCGTCTACCCCA